AACGGAGACAGACCAGTTAAGCCCGCGGTCGCCAACCTTCCGGACCTCACGGACCGCCAGTGGCAACCGCTGAGTTAAATAACTTTCCCCCAAGTCAAACACTAGTGAGTGCAGGAAGGGGTCTAAACCCCCCCCCCCCCAGCGTGCACTTCCGTGGGTCTGGGCACTTCATCACCAGTGGGCCGTGCGGATAGCATTTGGGGCCTCCCCCGAGGAGAGCAGCAGGTACCCAGAGCGCCCGCCTGCTCCTAGGGGCGTGCGGGGGACGGAGGGCGCGGCTCGGCACGCCTCTTCCAGCCTGGTTGGCACAGACTGTCCTCGTAAGACTTAGAGGACACACATGATGTCGGTCTGCGCCTGGGTGTCCTGGTGTCAAGCACAGGGCAGCCGAGTGTTGTGCAAACATTGTCCTTTGACTCCCACGCGCTTTGATGGGCAATAGACCAGGGAGGCTTATCGGTGACAGTCATCCTGGGGTGACGTCACTGCTCGCCCTGGCCCTGCTGAAGGCGAGGGAGGCTCTGCTGACCTTGTGCATCCCCCGCTGAGCGGTCCCCTCGCCTCTGTCCGCGGAAGGAGGAGCTGGGCACGGTGGCCAGTCCGCTGTGTTTTAGGTAAACTCTGTTTCCAGCACCCTCTACCTTCTCCAGCCGCAGGATTGAATCCCGACTCCTGACTCCTCAAGAGCCGGCTCCTCCTGGAAGGGAGATGCGGGAGGGGTTGAAGCATCCAGGCTCCCATACGCCCCATGCCCGTTCCCTGCCCATCAGCCTGTTCGCTCCCTGTATTTCTCTCTCATATGCGAGATATTAAAGCTGCTTGTGGGGTTCAGGGAGGTGCTTAGTATCCAGCCATTACAATGCCGGGGCCAGAAGTATGTCCGTTCAAATGAACTTCGTTTTAGGGATAAATGAACTGCTTTTTTTTTAAGAGAGAAAATCTGGGTCTTAAAGACCCACAATGATAGGGAGGGACTGGGCCTTTACGAGGAAGGCCTCCTGTCACTGCCTCTCACTAGGCTCCAGGCACCTTTAGAGGTGCAGAGGAAGCCACTCTAGCCCTGCTGGGCATCCGTTCCAGCCCTCACCCGGCCTTACTCTCCCACAGTGAGCTGCACACACACTCATTTCCTCTTGCTCAGCCACAGGAGAGCCGAGGACAGCATCTGGCCATCCTTCATTCGGACCTGAAGACAGTTAATAACAGGACTCTGCAGCACCCTTCGCATTTCCATGTTTCCTGTGTACACCGCCCCCCCCCCCCCGGCAACAAGCTCCACCTCACGCCTGCCCACGTGGCTTCTTTCCCGTGCCCAGGGGGCCAGACCTGGGGTTTGGCCATTCAGATGTGGTGGACAGACTGTGCTGGGAGGGTGCCTTGCGCACAGTCCTGGGGGACGGTCCTGTCTGTGCTGCTCGCGATCGCCTGCCCTTGGCATCCCCAGGCAGGCTGGATGGGCAGGGGGGCGGGGGGCGGGGGGGGGGGGGGGCTGCCCCTTTCTCTCCCTCTCCCTTGGATGCCACCCAGGAGAATCAAGCTTCACAGCTGTCACTTTCACTTCTGTCCCCCCTGGAAGTCTCAGCTGAACAATGTTGTGCAGTCCTGGCCTCAGAAGTAATAGACAGGTGCTGGGTGTCTTGTGTCTGCAGAAAAGGGAGCCTGAACAGCTGAGAATAAACAACAGTTGCCTGGTAATATGAACTCCTCGCATGTAAAGTCAGAGGCCGGCAGCCCGTGGGGGGAGGGGAGGCCAGGTTGTGCTGGCCACCACCTGTGAGGGAGGCCAGAGGTGAGGTTGTTTCCCAGGGAACCAGGAAGAAGGCTGAGAGCCCAGTGTGGGGGAGGGGGGGAGGAGGGAGGGGGAGGGTGGAGAGGAAGGCAGGGCTGAGATTCTGAAACAGGTTGTGGAAACTCTTTGGTCCTGATCCCCTGACACCAGCTTCTTTGGGAAATCGTTTTTCTAAACTTTGCACTTCCATTTTTGCAATAAAATACCTGACATGTTATGTGGTGGTGTATCCAACTAGCATCAGGCTGGGGAATGCTGGGGCTGAGGGGGACCTGCTTTCCAGAGCTCATGCACTTGTTGGGATTTGGGGGCTTCTCGCTGCCTCCGAGGACCCGGGTCAAGCTCTGGCTTTGTCTTTGAGTTGTTGTTATTTATATCCTCGGGCGAAATCCTGCCTTGCTCCTGGAAGGTCAAACACCATGTATGAAAGCCATTTACAGAGGTGTGAAGGGTGCTAGTCAGACGAACCTCCAGGGCCCTGGAGAGAGTCCAGGACGCAGACAAGCAAGGTGCCCGCAGTCCGAGTGCGGCGACGGCTCCCGGCTTCAGGGCCGCTCTTTCCTGGGGTCCCCTTCTCCCAAAAGTGAGCAGAGGCACCTGGGAGGCGCAGAGGGTGTGTTTTGAACAGGTTTTAACGGATGAAGTTACGGCTGAAGCGAAGGGGGAGTGCAGGTGGAGGTGAGCACCGAGGTGTCAGGCGGGAGGCGCTCTGGGTATCAGCGTTGGTTGGGAGGAGGCTGCGCCTGGGGTCACGTGAAAGGTCAATGCTCATTCTCAGCGGCTGCGGCCCGAGGCTGAAGTCTCACCGGATTTTAGATTTTAGGTCCAGAGTCTGTCGTGGGAGGGAAAAGTGGCTAAAGCTGGTGGGAAGGAGCGGGCGACAGTTCTTCCCGTCAAGAGGCACGCATTTCATTCAGTGTTTGAGCGTCGACCTATGAACCAGGAGGTCAGGGTTCAATTCCTGGTCAGGGCACGTGCCTGGGGCGCGGGCTTGATCCCCAGTGTGGGGTGTGCGGAAGGCAGCCGATCAATGATCCTCTCATCATTGATGTTTCTCTCTCTCACCCTCTCCCTTCCTCTCTGAAATCAATAAAAATATATTTTTAAAAATAAATAAGTTCGGATGCTCACCGTGAACTTCAGTGGGGCCTGCTCCCCTGTGAACCTCCCTTTCCCCCGAAGACCCAGGGGGCCTTCTGGCCCCTCTACTGCAGACCCTCCTCTTTTGTGTGCTGGCCGTGGCTTCCATGGGATGGCGGTATCCCAGCCGCCCTGCTCCTCGCACACCTGCGGGCCCGGCTCCTCCACAGGCTGCTCCCTGGCCTGGGAGCTTATCAGCGCCCAAAGCACTGTCCCTGGAGGACCGCCAGGCGCTGAGCCACCCCCGGGGCCTGGTTCTCCGTGTAGCTCAGGATCCTGCGTCTGCAGTTACAGCTCAGCCTCCTCGTCACTCCCGGAGCCGGAAGGAGTGCCCTGCTGCTGGCCGGGCCTGGCACCTGAGGGCAAGGGGTTCTCCTTTCTGCCACATCCGGAGCTAAAATAGAGCGACACTAAACGCCCCGAGATCCGTGACAGGATGTGGAGGCTCAGAAATGAGAATGAGCTGATGTTTGGGGGCGTGGCCTTTGCTTTTTGGCCACAACATCTCTCTCCTGGGCAAAACAGACTCCCATTTCGGCTGCCCGGGCGGGTGTGCAGTGTCCCGAAGCCTTCACTCCCCCACGGTCACTGCAGGGCACGCGGGCCGGGCCAGCCGCCACACTCCATGTCCCGCTGGCCTGCAGGGACCTGTGTTCTCTCAGGGAGTTCTGTGACCTTCGGGGTGTGGTATCCCTCGGCTTTGGGGCCCTGTGAGATGTTCCCCTGAACGTCATGCTGGCAGAGAGGCTGGGCACCACCTCCCAGGCAGAAACTGGCCTCAGGGGCACAGAGAAGGGGGTGGCCCTGCGTGTGGAGTTGGTGGTGCGTTCTGCGTGCCCCCTGGGCTGTTTGAAAGCTCCTGTCTCTACCTGGGTTCTCCTTTGCAAATATGCTGCGTGGGGAGGCAGGAGAGGGGCTGTGTGAGCCTCTGCCCTGGCAGGTGTGGCACAGATGGTGGAGCATCACCAGTCACCCCAGCACCAAGGTCCCCTGCTCGTTCCTGGCCAGGGCACATGCCTGGGCTGTGGACTGGATCCCCAGGGGCCTGCAGGAGGCCGCCGGTGTTTCTCTCTCCCTCTCTCCCTTTCGCTCTAAAAATCAATAAAAACACGTTTTTAAACAAGTGGTCCATTTTAGACTCAGTCTTGACCGCGTTCAATGGGGTGGATCATGTTTAGAGCCAATCTCTAAGGTTGGTACCTGGGTCCAGGGAGTGTGGGCAGCACAGCGTGGGACACAACAGGACTCACCCAAGCCTTCTAGGGTTCGTGATGGGAGACAGACTAGACTTCCTGTGGCCCAGTCCACCCCCTCGCAGGCGAATTCGGAATTGGCTCGTCCCCTAGCAAGGGCCCCCCTCGGCTCCCGGCGCCCAGGGCCTTGCCTCTGGGTGCTCGCCCCTTATGTGATTCTTGGCTTGGGACGGGGCTATGGATTGACATGGGAGCTCAGGAAGGGCAGCCATCAGCCCCTTTTCCTACTGGTGCCATGTGTCCCGTGTCTTTCAGACCCTATGTCTGTCCTTCCTTGGTATGTCTGTCCTTCCTTGGTACGTCTGTCTGCTGTCTGTCTGTCCTCAGAAGCAGCCTGCAGTAACTGGCTCCCCTTGGCTCTGCCCAGGCATCCTGTGCCCCGCCCGCACCCCAAGTAGTTGAAAGAAAGCGCTTGGGAGAAGAGAGCCAGGGAAAGCCCCCAGGTCCCTCAACCCTGTGCCTGGGCGGCCGTGGAGAGTGAGGGCTGAATTCCTCCATGATTTGTCCCTTCTGCTTGCCCGCGCCCCTCCCCCCCCCCACGCCCCGTCTCCCTGCCTCGCCCCCCCCACCCCGAAAATCAGGGGGAGAGATTTCTGAGCGCTGCCGGCCAGTGTCGCTTTGAGAAAGTTGCTTGGAGACTATTGCGTTAGGCGGGTTGGAGCGGCCCGTGTGCAGTTCCACCGGCGTCAGAGCAGCGCTGGCCTTGCCGGACCGAGGTGACCTCCTCCCCCCTCGCCACCCCGCTCCTCCTCCTCCTCCTCCTCCTTTATTTTTACACGGCGTCTCGCTTCCTCTCTCCCCTCCTCCCTCCTCCGCCTCTTCCTCCCGCTCTGCCTCCTGCAGCGCCCAGCCCGCTCCCCGCCGGGCCCGCCGCGCGCACCGCGGAGAGTTTGCCGACGCCCCGGCCCCGGCCGCCGAGTCCCGAAGGCACGACGCCCGCCCGCGCGGGAGCCGCGGAGGAAGCCCGAGCCCGAGGGCGGGCCGAGGACCCGCACAAAGTTAGGCTCCGGCGCCGCCGCCCGGCGCTCCCGCCCGCGGCTCCCGGAGGAACCGGTCTCCCCGCGGCTCAGCCCGCGCGGCCACGTGAGCGCCCGCCGAGCGCGCCGGGAGGAGCGGCGGGACCCATGCCCGCGGCCCACCTGATGGAGAGCCTGCAGCCGCCCGCGCTGCAGGTGCCGGCGCCCCGGGGCGCGCCCGAGGGCAGCGCCGTCTGGTCCAGCGCGTCCACCCCCTCGCTCCGCCGCCGGCGCTTCAGGCTGCGCCGCGCGAGGAACGTGCTGGAGCGGAGCCTGGAGGCCGGGCTGGCGCGGGAGCTGCCCCTGCCCCTGCCCCTGCCCGGCGGCGGGGCCCCCGGCAAGGAGCTCCTGCAGCTGCCGGCCATCGAGATCACGCCCTCCAGCGACGAGGACACCCCGTGGTCCAACTGCTCCACACCCAGCGCGTCCCCGCGCCGCAAGCGCTCCCTCCTCCGCAAGTGGCTGCGGCTTCGGGAGCGGAAGGAGTGCGGCGAGAGCAGGTACGTCCCGGTCGCCGCCTTCCTTCCTCGCCAGTTCCCCCCCCCCCCCCACCCGGGGCCCAGGCACCCCGCGGGAACTTAGGGGGAATCAGAAGCCCTCACCCCACGAGCTCGGGGAACCAGGCGCCGGGCACCGGGCTGGCGGCACTTTGGCTGCCGTTCTTGCCAGCGACCATCTCCGGGGCCCAGGGCGGGCGATGGCTGTAGTGCCTGCCATCTGTCTGCCTGCCTGTCTACCTGACACATTGGCGAGGGCTTCAGGCTTCCTCATCTCCTTTGATCCTCACAGCAGAACGAATAACACAAACCACAGCAGGTGACACTCATGCTTCCCATCGTGCGCCGACATCATGGTGAGCAGCCACCCTCTCACTGTAATCCTCACAGGCCTGTTATCCCATTGCGGGGATGGATGGAGGCAGCAGAGGCGGGAGGCCTCCCGTGGCAACCCCTTAGACTTGTGTTTCTCCTATGTGCTCCGCTTCCACTTTAATTTTTATTTAGTTAGGCAGCGGCAGGTTGCCTTTCTTGGGTCTTCAGACCTCTAGGCCTGCTCCGTGCCACGGTGGTGTGTGCCCGGGTCAGGGTGGCATCTGAGTGGTGCGGGAGTTCGCTTTCCCTGCACAGAGTGTCGGTGTAGAAAGCACAGGCCAGCTCTACCCACCGCCCCAGGCCCTCCTCCACTCACTTCCAGACTCTGGGGCCGGGCTCCAGCAGGGCTGTGCCCTGGCGTGGAGTAACTGAGCAACGGCCCACCTTCCCTGGGACTCCTCCTCCCGTCCGATCAGTTTCCTTCATTTCGGCTCAGAGCACTTACTGCATGTTCCTGTGAGCTCACGGCGGCGGCTCCAGGAGGGAGTTGGGGAGGGCTTGGTAGAATGAGGGGATGTGGAAGTGGAGAGCTGGGAGGAGCCTTGGGTGAGAAATTAAGACATGTGAGTTTCACCGCGTGGAAGAGAGGGAGCCATGTGAGCCATGTGGTACTGATTGTACAAGAAAAGACAGGAGACAGAAAGGACGAAACTCAAACCACAAGTACAGATGGGCCGCAGGACACGTAGGGAAAGGACGAGGGGGGCCTGTCAGCAGGAACGGGGGGCAGTCAGGACAGAGGGGTAAGGACGGGTGAGCCAAGAAGAAGGTGGAAAGGATGAACAATAAGATGGCAGTAAGTACTTATCTATCAACTAGTGACTCTAAAAGCTGAAAGACACAATCAAGCAGGACAGAAACAGACTCCTCCATGCAGAGAACATTCTGGGTGGCCAGATGGGAGGGGGAGGAGAGAATGTGTGAAAAAGGTGAAGGGATTAAGAAGCACAAATGGATGGTTACAGGCTTGTCCTGGAGATGTAAGTGCAGCACAGGGAATATGGTCCCTAACACTCCAATAGCTATGAATGGTGTCCGATGGGCACGAGGTTTATGGGATGATCACTTAGGCCAGTGGTTCTCAACCTCGGCTGCACATTAGAGTCACCTGGGAATCTTTTTAAAATCCTGATTTCTGGGCCTCATCCTCCGGAAATTCTGTTTCTTTGTTACTAATGTTGTGGCCCCACCCCATAACAAAGAAACAGAATTTCCGGAGGATGAGGCCCAGAAATCAGGATTTTAAAAAGATTCCCAGGTGATTCTAATGTGCAGCCAAGGTTGAGAACCACTGACTTAGTAAGTTATATTCTGCCCAATCCCTGGGGTGTACGCCTGAAACTAATACAATATTGTATGTGAACTATAATTAAAAAATTAAAAATGATTTAAATAAAAAGTTAATACTAAAAAAAAAAGAGAGAGAGAGAGAGAGCAGGGCGAGCCATGTGTCGTGGAGGGGACATTGCAGAACCAGCAGGTCACGTGGGAGGAGCATGAGAAGCGGCCAGGGTCTCTCTCCCCCGGCGCAGTGCTGGTGGTGGTGGTCCCCGCAGAGGCAGATGGAGAGCTTGGTTCGGGGCTTTCTGTGGACCTGGGACACCAGCCCTCTCTGTCTGGAACTGCACACCCGCGGTCTTTCCCACAGAGCACTCTTGGTGGGAACTAATCTTGAACTAAAATAGTTCATTATGGTTTGCCAACTCTCTTAAAATGTTAGAGACCCTAAAAGAGACCCTGTTTTGGTCTTGAGATTTGGCCCCAGAGGCTGAGGACAAAATGTGGGGAAGGAGTCCTGCGCTGCTGGCCAGGGCGGGGGTTGGGGGGTGGGGGTGGGGGGTTGGTTAGATGTGAGGAAGGCGTCCCTGGTTTTGAGAATTGTCAGGATTCAGTATAATCTTCATGTTTGTTGGCGTAGGGAAGGGTTTAAGGCAGTTCTTTTAAATGGTGGCTGTCGTAGGAGAATGTACGCAGTTTGTACAAAACGGCAGACTCTGGTTTCAAACCAAATTTGTCCACCTTAAATCTCTACTCTTAACCACTATTATACGGCCTCCTATTGGCCTTTATCTGGATGGTGGTTAAAACAAAACCCTATCTGTTTTACAAACTTATTTTTTACTGATTTGAGAGAGAGAAACCTTGGTTGGTGCCTCCCGGAGGCTCCCTGTCGGGGGGCTTGAACCTGCAGCCTTTTGGCTGTACAGGACAATGCGCCCAACACCCGAGCCAGGGCCGGGGCAGAACCCATCGTTCTTAGTCCTTGGGAATGGAAGGCTTCTCGGAAAGAAAAGCACTGAAGTGTGCATGCCCCGCAAGACTCCCGGAGGAGGAGATGGTGTTCAGAAGCAAAGGAACACGCAGAGTATTGGTCTCCGAGTCAGGAGACCGAGGGTTCAACTTCAGTTCCATCGTTTATTAGCTGTGAGGCTCGGGGACCTCGCTTGAAGGTGGTTTCAGCTTCTCCGGCTGTGGGAGGGCTATCTGTCGGCTCACGGGAGGCTTCAGAGTAAAACACGTGAACATGCTTTGTAAACTTGCCTCTGTGCAGGGTGAAGGAGGCTTGTCATGTCTGTGAGTGCCTCCCATGGAGTGGCGTGTGCTGAGAGCGGGCGGCTGTGTCCTCTCCATGCCTGCAGCCACGCCTGAGATCCTCGCGCATCCTCACAGGATGAGGGGGAGTAGGCATGCCCGCCCAGCCTGGCATCTGCCCTCTTCACGTCCCCACCCCAGGGCCCCCTCCACACACAGAGAGGAGCCTGTTAGGTCTGCCGCGGTGTTTTCTCTGACCTGGGGGGAGGCCAGGGCCCCAGAGGGCCACCGCTTGTGGGTTTTAACTGCTAAATTGAACATAAAAGAGGGTCAGGAGACCCCTCTGTCCTCCTTAACCCTGAGAAGAAAGGAGTGGAGAAAATGGTGATGTGTTTGCACGGTTTGGGGGTCCAAGGATCCAGGAGTTAGCACTGAAACGCTCCCAGTCCCATCGGGTCTGGTCATCTCCGCCCCTGCACTGTCGGCACTGCACTTGGCCTTCTTGTGACCCGGGATGTTTGCTGGTGAGTAGAGAGTAACAAGCGACTGAGCGATTCCTTGCTCTGTAGTGTCTGGAATGGAATTCTCTTTGTTCATGAGTCGGGGGACATTTCCTTGAGGAGATGAGTCCAGAGCTGAGGTGGGGGTTTTTCCCCCCCTTTATTGAGACATAATTTACATACCGTGCAATTCACTCTTTTTTACAGTATACAACTCAGTGGGTTTAGTAAACGCACAGGTATGTGCAGCTATCACCACAGTGAACCTAGAACATCCCCTTACCTTCCAGACAAGCCTGTGCCCTTTAGATGTTCCCCTATCTCCCGATTCCTCATCCCCCCGTCCCTAGGCACCCGGAATCTCCTGTCTGCGGAGGCTGAGTTTTGAATGGGGACCAAAAGCCTCTTGGTGACAGCCGTTTGGGTGTTTTGGCTTCAAGATGGGGATGGATGACAGTGTGGTCTTGCTCAGGGATGTGGAAGGTGAGGGTGGGGAGGTGAAGGGCTGACAGGCCAGGAATTATGCGGAGTTTGAATTTCTATCGGTCAGTCAGACAACAGAGGCGCCCGAGCTTCTGCGGGCTGGGTGCTCACACACGCGTTCAGCTCGCGGGGACCCTGTGGGCTCTGGGACCCGGGAGACACAAAGCCCGAGTGGAATTTGAAGCAACTGATCTTGCTGTTCTGTGTGAACTGGGCGGCGAGTGGAGGCCACAGCTGTGCCCTGGGACTGTGTGCCACCGTGGCACGCGATGGCTCCGTGTCTGCTGGCCGGGCCCCTGAGCCCTGCAGGTGCCGCCGAGGCGGTGAGGCCAGCCTGGGAGTGAGCGCTGTGTCCTCGGGGGCCTGTGGCTGGCAGCAAGGACCGTGCTGAGGATCAGAGCTCCTCTGACCGTGGCAGGGTCGGAAGTGAGGCGGAGCCTCGTCTTCCAGGATGGCATCTGCCACCCTCTGCAGGGGAGGGACGCTGAGCAGGGGTGAGGACGTGGGAGTGGGTGCTGATGCGGGCACCCAGGAGCGCTGCTCTGCTTCCCTCTCCCCAGCACCCTCTGTCGGACCCCATTGCCACCGTCTCCCCGTGGCGGTTCTGTCCCCGCTTCGTGTAACCTGTCACACCTGCTCACAGTCCAGCAGGCCGGCAGCTGCAGAGTCTTGTCACCCCGGAGCCTCGCCTCAGGCTCAGCTACACCTCCGACCTCAGGGGGTGCCTCTTAGTGATTCTGCCCATCCTGGCGGCCAGGCTACCTGCCTGGTGCCGGCCTCGCTGGAGGGGGGAATTGCAGGTAATGAACACACGTCGTTGGCAAATCTATCTCGGTTCTCCTCCCCTTCCTCTTACCTGTAGAGCACGTCTTGTTTCCGGTTTCAGCTCAGTTTCCAGGGGAGGGGGGACCCCGTGCTCTGCCCCTCAGCCGTGTGCCTGCCTGCCGTGCATGAGAAGCACAGGGAGGGTGGGAGAGAAGAAACCTAACACAGGCATCAAGCAACTGCTAAGGGAACCTGTGATTTGCACACAGATGAGTAATTAATCGGTGCCGGATAAGGTTCAACTAGCAAAATCCCCACCAGACCCGGATTCCTTGAGGGCGGGGACTG